GCCCTACCAGCTTTGAAACCTGTGGCATCTTGTAACCGAATCAGTACTTTCATTTTCCCAGTTTCCATTTGTTTTTACAAGATAAGGCAAATGTGGGAACATGTGCGAACAGCTGTGTAAACATGGAGATGGCAACAGTGTCACAACTCAAATGTTCAGTGGTGGACCAGGTGCCCCACTGTGCTTCAGCCAATGAGGGAAGCCCAGATTCATTGAGTGGAAGGTAGTTTGGGGTGCCACTCAAGTGCCTGTATAAAATTCTGACTGTTTGAAAATCAGATGTACAGAAGTTAAGGACTGCCTGTACCAGAAGTGGTGGCTCACACTCACACCCACAGCTCCAGCACTTTGGGAGGCCGAGGTAGGAAGATTGTATGAGGTCAGGAATTCAAGACCAGCCTGAATGACACAGCAAAATCCTGTCTTGACCAAAAAAAAAAAAAAAAATTTTTTTGAAAAAATTAGCAATGCATGGCAGTGCATGCCTGTAGTCCTAGCTACTTGGGAAGCTGAGGTGGGAAGATCTGTTGAGCCCATGAGTTTGAGTCTACAATGAACTATGATGGCGCCACTGCACTCCAGCCTGGGCAACAGAACAAGACCCCATCTTTAAACAAGCAAACAGGGCCAGGCACTGTGGCTCTCGTCTATAATCCCAACACTTTGGGAGGCCGAGGTGGGCGGATCACCTGAAGTCAGGTGTTCGAGACCAGCCTGACCAACATGGAGAAAACCCATCTCCACTAAAAATATAAAATTAGCCAGACATGGTAGCATATGCCTGTAATCCCTGCTACTTAGGAGGCTGAGGCAGGAGAATCGCTTGAACCCAGGAGGCAGAGGTTTTGGTGAGCTAAGATGGTGCCATTGTACTCTAGCCTGGGCAAAAAGAGCGAGACCCCGTCTCAAAAACAGATAAACAAGCAAACAAACAAACAGAAAAATGAACTGCCTCTATTTACTACAGTGGCAGCCTTTGTATGCCAGATTTTCCTAGCCATCTATATCAGTTAGTTATTGTTAAACAATAAACCACCTCTAACTCAGTGGCTTAAAACATGAAGTATCTGTTTATTATTGCTCAGAATCTATGGGCCAGCTGTGTGGTTCTGCTGATCTGGGTCAGGCCCTGCTGATCTTGGCTAGCTTATTTGAGTGTTCCTATCAGTCAGTGGTCAGGTCAATTGGGGAGCTAGGGAGGAGGTGAGGAAGCTGGTCTCAGATGTCCTCATTCCCATATCTCCCAGTTGGCTGGCTGGCTGGCAGCTCTGGGGACAGGGTTAAAGGAGTCATGTGATCACACATCCCCCAGCAGGTGAGCTGTTCACATGGTGGCAGTGGCCTTCCAAGAGAACAATAAGAAATAGGCAAGACCTCTTGGTCTTGAACTCTTGAGGCCTAGGCAGGAAATAGCACCATGTCCCTCTACCACATTCTACTAATTAAAGAAACTCACGGCTGGGCACAATGACTCACATCTGTAATCCCAGCACTTTGAAAGGTCAAGATGGATGGATCACCTGAGGTCAGGAGTTCAAGACCAGCCTGGCCAACATGGCAAAACCATGTCCCTCCTAAAAATACAAAAATTTAGCCAGGCATTGTGGCAGGTGCCTGAAATTCCAGCTACTTGGGAGGCTGAGGCAGGAGAATCACTTGAACCTGGAAGGCAGAGGTTGCCGTGAGCCAAGATGGCGCCACTGCACTCCAGGAGATGGAGCGAGACTCCATCTCCAATAAATAAATAAATAATAAATAAATAAACTCACAAAGCTTCCAGATGTAAGGGGCAAGCAAAAAGGTACCCCTTCTTGATGGAAGAGAATGCAAAGTAACTTTGCAAAGGGCATGGGTGTAAGAAGATTGAAGAACAGGGACTATTTTTGTAAGCAGTCGACCATAGTATCCTGAATAAAATTTTTCATACTGGAAAATGCCACGGACATGAAGGAAGGAGATGAACAAAAGTTGGGTAGCAGAGAGACAATCGGGGTGGATGCCAGGGAAATAGACCCTAGAGAGGAGAAAGAACAAGCTTGAGCAAAACGAGCAGAGGAGGAGGTCAGAGACACAGATTATATGAAAATGCCACTCTAGTTTTCATTAATTAATTTGTAGAGATGGGGGTCTCGCTATGTGGTGCAGGCTGGTCTCAAACTTTTGCACTGAAGTGATCCTCCTACCTCAGCCTCCCAAAGTGTTGGGATTAGTAGAATGGCATTTTTAGGCCATTCTAATAATTGCTTCTATACTGACTCATACTGGACGTTGCATCTGTGCCAAGCACTTTGCCTGCAAAAATCTCACTTAATCCTCAATCACTCCTATGGGCAAGGCTCCATTATTAATCCCATTTTACAGTTGAGGGAATTGAGATTCAGAGAGGATAAGGTAACTTGTAGAGACACTTAGATAAGTGCAGAACGAAAGATTTGAAGACGTCTTTTTTTTTTTTTTTTTTTTTTTGAGATAGAGTTGGGCACTCTGTTGCCCAAGCTGGAGTGCAGTAGTGTGATCCTGGCTCACTGCAACCTCTGCCTTCTGGGTTCAAGTGATTCTCCTGCTTCAGCCTCCCCAGTAGCTGGGACTACAGTCATGCACCACCACACCCAGCTATCTTTTTTTTCGTTTTGTATTTTTGGTAGAGACAGGTTTCACCATATGACTAGGCTGGTCTTGAACTTCTGACCTCAAGCGATCTGCCTGCTTTAACCTCCCAAAGTGCTGGGATTACAGGCATGAGCCACCATGCTCTGCCAACAAGTCTTTGCATTAATTGGTGCCACTGTCTCTAACTTGTCTCTCTGTCCCTACCTCTGGCCCCTGCCCAGGCCTGGATCACTACAGCATCCAATTCCTTACGGTCTTGCTCCAGATCTTGGCTAACTTTTTCTATAAAGGACCAGAAAGTAAATCTTTTCAGCTTTGTGAGCCATTTGGCCTCTGTCACAGTTACTCAACTCTGCCCAGGCAGCGTGAAAGCAGCCACAAACAGTATGTTAATGAGTAGGTGTGGCTGTGTACCAATGGCACTATTTACAAAAATAAAGACTCAGGTGGTAGTTTGCCAACCCCCGTATAATCCACTCTCCACATTGTAGCCAGAGTGAGTCAAATTCAAATACGACCTTGCCACTCCTGCCTAAAATGATTCAACAGTGCCCTCTGATCAGTTCAAACTCTCCATGTGGTCTGCAGCTGTGCATGCGTGTGTGCGTGCGCGTGTGCGTGTGCGTATTCTGCACCAGTGGTATCACCATTCCCTGGCAGCTTGTTAAAGAGGCTGAATCTCAGTCATGGTGGCTCACGCCTGTAATGCCAGCACTTTGGGAAGCCAAGGCAGGAGGATTGCCTTGAGGCTAGGAGTTCGAGACCAGCCTGGGCAACAGAACAAGGCTCCATCTCTTCAAAAAATTTTTAAAAAGTTAACTGTGCATGGTGGTGGATGCCTGTAGTCCAAGCTACTCAGGAGGCTGAAGCAAGAGGATCGCTTGAGCCTGGAGGCTGCAGTGAGCTATGCTCCTGCCATTGCACTCTAGCCTGGGCCACAGAACAAAACCCTGTCTCAAAAAAAAATTCATAAATAAAGAAGAAGGCAAGACCTGCTGAATCTGAACTTGTTTTGGGATTTTTTTGTTGTTGTTTTTTTTTTTTTTTTTGGTTTGTTTGTTTTGTTTGACAGAGTATTGCTCTGTCACTCAGGCTGGAGCGCAGTGGCACAATCTCAGCTCACTACAACCTCCGCCTCCCGGGCTCAAGCAATTCTCGGGCCTCAGCCTCCTGAGTAGCTGAGTCTATAGGTATGCACCACCATGCCTGGCTAATTTTCCTATCTTTAATATAGATGCAGTTTTTCCAAGTTGGCCAGACTGGCCTCAAACTCTTGACCTCAAATGATCCCCGCCCCCCATCTCAGCCTCCCAAAGTGCTGCGATTACAGGTGTGAGCCACCACACCCAGCTAGAACTGGCATACTAACAAGCTTTCCGGGTGATCTGCACACTCCAGCCTGAGAAGCTCTGGCTTCCAACTCCGTCCATCTCATCCTTTCCACTGAATCCTCCTCCCCTCCTCTCCTCGTACCCCTACTTTCCAGACAGACTGGAATGCTCTTTCATCTCTGCATTCAATACATTCTTGTCCAGTCCACCGCACTTCACTTGTCTAATTCCCACCTATCTTTGGATCTCAACTTAGATGTCACTTCTTCCAAGGAGCTCTCCTGCAAACCCTGAAGTGCGTGAAGTACCCTTGTTTGGTTTTCAAAAACTTTCTCCTCCCCAGCACCCACCATGCTGTATGGTAATTGTTTCTTTCATTGCCTGTCTGCCTCTGTCTGTGAGCTCAGAAGGGAGAGGCCATGTCTGTCTTGGCCACCTCTGTGTGTGTCCTCTGTGCCCTGGGACAGTATTACTCATTGAAAACCAAGTGGAACACACCCACCAACTTTCCCCTGGGCAGGTGCCCCACACAGCTACTATGACTGGTTTCCCTGAGCTTCCGCCTATCTCTGAGACTCTGAAAAGCCCTTAGTCTCCAAGATTCTATCTCCTGCTAAGCCTACTGGTTTTTTGTATTAGCAAATGTTTACCATTTCGCAAGGGGCCTGAGGGCCTAAGAGATTTCTGGACAAAATTCTTGAGCCACAGGCCAAGACTTGAATTGTGTTTGGGTAGGTGTGGGGGAGCCAGGATGGGAGAGTGAGGCAGAGAGGAGAGGTGGGAGCAGAAGATTCTAGGCCAGGAAGAAGACTTGAAGGTTCAGGATACCAGGGAGCATGCCTGCAGCACTGTGAACTAGCTTTTTTCCCCCATCTGTATACAGAGCTAATTCTACACACACAAAAATTATCCCCAGCCTTAACGCATGGGAAAAGTTTCCCATACACCCAGATGCTCAGAGCAGTTGAGGCTTGTGCAAAGAACCACAAGCCAGCACAGGCCAGGCTGTCCCCGTGGAAGATGAAAGCCCTCCCCCAGATCTGACATTCAGTCCAAAGGTTTCTACAAGTTCCTTTATTAATAAAGCAAAATAGAAAAGACCAAGGTCCCAAAATGACCCATATGATTCAAAGTGCAAATTTACTCCAGCCTGCAAGAGAAAACGAACGGCAGGCCTTGACTGTTGGGGCCACGGAAATTTGGTGTGATTAAACTTCCTTTTCATCACACAATTGTAGCAGCTGAACCATATCTGATTAACTCTTTGGTCTGTGTTACTGGAACAAAACTAATGCTACGACTGCAGCCACCAGACTGCAACCTAAAACACAGTGTGGGGTCAGAAGACGTTACAAATCACAATAAAACAGGAGGAATGTTTTAAGTCAAGCAACTGAATCAAGGCACCGTTTCTTTAAAAGCAAAAAGTTGTTTAAACATATTCCAGAATAGTAGATACTTCAAAAACCAGATTACAATATATATCATTTTGCTGCACATTTTAGTCTATTTTCTGTATACACAGTCACACATTCTCCGCCTCTCCCAACTTATACATGCTTTGTCCCCCCCCAATCACGTGCTATGTAGGTATGAAAAAATAAAGTTGTATCTAAACAAGTGATTGAAAAAAAAAAAAAAAACTAACGAATGCCACGATGATAACGCTGAACTTGTTTGCCTCTCAGGGAATTTGGAAATGTTACTGAGGTTCACTTTCCCTGCCACTGAATCATCTTCCTCCATGTAGACAGGGATGAGAGGTCAGTCCTCATCAAGGTCAAAAGCCACATGCTACAGAAAAAGTAACTTACTCCACAGAAGTTACATGAGATGCTTTGGAAGCACTTAGGTTAATTCCTTCACAGTGTTTGCTAGGATGTCAATTTTGGTGGAGCTGCTGAGTCAGAAAATGATAGAGGCCAGGTACGGTGGGTCACGCCCGCAATCCCAACACTTTGGGAGGCCGAGGCGGGAGGATCACCTGAGGTCAGGAATTCGAGACCATCCTGGACAACATGATGAAACCCCTGTCTCTATTAAACAAAAAGAAAGAAGGAGAGAGAGGGAGAGAGAGAGAGACAGAGGGAGAGGGAGAGAAGAAAAGAAAGAAAGAAAAGAAAAGAAAGAAAGGAAAAAAGAAAGAAAATAAAATAAAATGAAATTAGCCGGGCATGGTGGCAGGCACCTATAATCCCAGCTATGTGGGAAGCCGAGGCCTGAGAATTACTTGGACCTGGGAGGCGGAGGCTGCAGTGAGCCAAGATCGTGCCAGTGCACCCCAGCCTGGGCAACAAGAGTGAAACTCTGTCTGGAAGAAAAGAAAAAAAGAAAATGATAAAACATTCCAGGTGAAGTCTGATCAGAACCATGCTTTTAGGGCAGGTGTGGGGGCTCACGCTTGTGATCTCAACACTTTGGGAGGCTGAGGTGGGAGGATGGCTTGAGTCCAGTAGTTCAAGACCAGCCTGGGCAACATAGGGAGACCCAGACTCTACAAATAATTTTAAAATTTGCTGGGTGTAGTGGCACATATCTATGGTCCCAGCTAGTTGGGAGACTGAGGCAGGAGGATCACTTGAGCCCAGGAGATCGAGGCTGCAGTGAGCTGCAATTTTGCCACTGCACTCCAGCCTGGGCAACAGAGCGAGATCCTGTTTCAAAAAACAAAAATAAAAACCTGTGTTCTTGGTAGTGGAAATGGTGTAAGCCCAAAGAAGCTTGCACCGCAAACCCAGCCACCAATCATCATTGTAAAGGCACGCGCTAGGATAGCAATAACCCCCGAAAATTAATTTAAATATACAAATAAAATAGATCCACTCATAAACTGGGAGAAAAAAAAAATAGAAACAAGTTATTCTGCAATCCTTCCTTATTAGTCATCTGCAAACTCTGAGAGAGCCAAGAGGTTTACCCCAAATCACCAGGAAGGAAATGCTAAAAACTGGCCCTAAGTGGTTTGTAGGATCTGACTGAAAAAGAGCAGCTCTGAGATCAAGCATCCTCCTGAAGGCTGTGAGTTAAGTGTTATCTGTGGCTGTGTTAATTTTTTTTTTTTTTTTGGTTTGTATCTATAATAAAGCTTAGCTCTGAGAGATAAACATGATTTGAAATATCACAGCCCCCAGTATATATAACACTACCACATCCAAAACAAAAAATATGACTTTATACATACTTGGGGTATTAACTGTGTAAGGCAGTGGTCGCAAACTGGTGGCCCCCAGACTCAAACAAATGTTTGGCCCAAGTGGTGTTTTGGACATTTTTTTAAGTACTTGCTTAAAAATCAGCAAGTTTTGCTTTTCAAAAAACAAAAAAAAAATCCTGATTTCCAGCTTTTTGCCCCATTTTTTTCCTGCATGGCTGAGCCTCCTTAAAGGTGGGCATTGCTTCCCCCCCACCCCACTTCCCACCCTTGTTTCTAAGGCTGCTGAGTTTGCAACCCCTGGTTGGAAATAGCACTAAAAACATGTTTCCTAACCCAAACCTCTCTCACACCCTCACGCAATTATTTCCCTTCCCTCTCTGGCTTCACTTTTCATCTTAAGTCCTCCTTCCCGAATTCTTTGGATTTCTCTTGGTTCACTCAAATTCTCCCTTCTTTCAGCTTCAGTTTCATTTTGCAAAAGAAACATCTCCGCTCAGCCCACGATCATTCCAGGAAGGCTCCCAAAACTGGTCAGTGGGAGTTACTGAAGAGTGTCTAGCCACAAAATGACTGAGTCATCCTCCCCAAAAACATTTTCCTCCGGCACTGGCTGGACAATTTTTTTTTTTCTGTTGTTACCGTGGAGCCTATTTGCATGAGACTATATGCATATATGAATCTCCAGTACCAAGCATACACCAAAAACGTGTACATTTCAGATGAAGGACATGATGGAGCCCTAATAAAATACAGAATTGAGCTTAATTTAAGTGTCTTGGGCAACCATCATGCCTGGCTAATATACCATATTATTTCCATTGTACACAGTACGTTTGGGTTTACTGAACATTGATCAAAATTGATCGAAATCTCTAAGTTTTGGTTACCACATACAGACAACAATTGCTCAGCATGGCATTTAAATAAAACAGTAATATTTTAAAAATTCAAAAATACAATGCCCCATTTATTTTAAAAAAATAAAATTTAAAAACCTTGAGGATGGATGAGGCTTTGGGTAATTAACCAGAAAAATATATATAACAAAAAAAGACAAGAACAGAATATGTTACCAGATTTATACTTTAAAACACTATTAAAAGAGAAACTCACTGACACAGCTAGAAATATTTCTAAAATTCACTTTTTAAAGCTTATATTTTAATTTTATTTTTTCAAGACAAGAGTCTTGCTCTGTTGCCCAGGCTGGAGCGCAGTGGTGTGATCTCAACTCACTGCAACATTTGCCTCCCAGATTCAAGCGATTCTCCTGCCTCAGCCTCCCAAGTACCTGGGATTACAGGCGTCCACCACCACGCCTGGCTCTTTTCTGTATTTTTTTAGTAGCAATGGGGTTTCGCCATGTTGGCCAGGTTGGTCTTGAACTCCTGACCTCAGGTGATCCGCCCACCTCGGCCTCCCAAAGTGCTGGGATTACAGGCATGAGCCACTGCGCCCAGCCTTAAAGCTTTATAATCCTTCCAACTTTATGTCCCCCACTGTAGTAGACAGTGAATACAGGGGAAGTTGTGGTTGAGTATGGGAAAATATATATATATTTGTGTGTATGTATATATAAGATCTCTTGGCATTTATTTTTAAAACTAATTTTTAAAAATACTGTGCATTACTATCTTTGCATAAAGTTGGCAGACTGACTCTTTTTGCACAATGCAGTACCTTATGACCTAACATTGACCTCAAAAGCTAGGAATGACCTTTGCGGGGAACTGTCCCCAGGACAACCTCAAAGAGACAGCACAACGTTGCAGCTGTTTCTCTTTCACCCCCAGGACGAAAAGGATACAAGAAGCCAATGCAGCTTTGAGGAGAAGGATTCCCTGTAAATCACTTACAACGATTTCCCACAGTGGCCAAGTAGATCCCCTCAAGAAAGAAGGTTCACAGAGTTCCCTCAAAAGAGCTTAGAAATTCAACAATGGTTCTATTCACATAGCCATTTCTGTCTTCCAAATTTTAGCTTTAAGAGTCTAAGGAAGTACAGGTTTTTATTTAGGGGAAAAAAAAATCCCAATGCGTTAACACTTGGGCTGGCTGTATTTCCAATCAGGCAAGCAGAGGCTGGACCGTGCTGAACTTAAAAAAAAAAACAAAAACCGTAATCGGGTGTTATAAATTTGGGAGGACAAGGAAGGATTCCAGGACAGGCTCCTCCCAGCTGCAAAATACACCCAACCTGGTGATCCACCCACAGAGAAAGAAGGAGACAGAGTGCTATCAAGGGCTGTCTCCCTTGCTCTTTTCCTAATTTGTCTCCTCTGCCCACCACCAGGGAGTAACCGATCTTCAAGCACAGAGCCCAAGATACTGAACTCTAAGTGAAATGTTTTGTAAAACCTGTGCTGGATCAACAGGTCCTTGAAGTTAGCCTCCTGGGACCACATAAGGCTGCCTGGACAAGGAAGAACCATCAATGGTTAGAGACTGAGCACAAACTACATGCTAAGCAGCAGGCATTTCCTCTTCATTAGCTCATTAAGCTCAGAAAGAAATCTTTGTGAAGGAGTTTGCTTAAAACTTTAAAATTAAAAAGGCTACTGTCTCCAGCCAGCAGCCAGCCTTGGAGAAACACCTTTATAGGCAAAGCCTAAAACACATCTTTCTCCAAAGCCAACATGTTTTATGCCTTCACCGGTGTGGTCTTGAAGATGTATTTGGTTGCTGCTTTGCACGGTGTCTGGCTGGTAGTAGGTAGCTCGATGAATGGGTGTTGACTGACTGGTACATACCCCAGCTTGTGGCCTGCGGGGATGTTAGGCAAGCACGTTGGCCACTTTTCAAGGCTGCACATTTCTTAATAATAAACATAACTGGCAGATGCAATGCTTGGTGCTAGCAATTACTACAAAATGAGTGAATTCATCAATATAAAGTGCTATTTTCTCTGGAAGTTTCTCTAATCAACTCTCGATTGCCTTTCCATATGTGTGACTTAATTTTTTGACAATCTTGTCAAACACCTGTGATTGCACCATTTAAAAAATACATTAATATTAATTTGAAGTGGAAACTATGTTCCTCTGAACATTAGCCCTGAAAATAGAACTTCAATTCCAGTTGCAGATAAAGATTCAGATTTTTCTTTTCAAAGGCAATCAGGAACCCAGTACCTAGCAAGTAATTGTGTCAAAAACTTTTTTTTGTTTTTTTTTTTTAATTTGGGCAGAGAGATCTGTGTCTAAAAGCCGAAAGAAGAAACTTTCCCTGCAGCGAATTCTTGCTTCTTCTACTGGACTTCTCTAAAAGCCATATCCTTCTACAGAATCCGTCCACACAAAACCACATTTGAACCAATTCTTGGGGCTGCATTTGGATGTCTTCCCCTAGTTTGTCCAGAACACTCTAGTGGGTGTGAAGATGTCATATCATATTGGTCTATGAAGTGAGGAAGTGATATTTAAGCCACTAAAGCTTGAGGCAGCCACCAAATTTTCCACTACCTTCTGTAATCTTGCATTTAACTGGCTTCACCACCATTCCCACCCCCACCCAGTGGGAATAGGTTTAGGAGCATTTGGTCAGGTGGGGGTGCTGTCAGGGTTTACGGTTCACCTTCAAGGAAGCCCTGGGTGCGCTGACTCCGGGGTGTGGGGCACCTGGCAAGGTAGCGGGGACCCCCGTAGGCCCGGAGAAGCTGGGGCAGCCTTTGCCACGTGGACAGTAACCGCGCTGCTGCAAGTTCCCGGGCGTGCCCGTCGAAAGCGGCCAGGAGGTCAACTGGAGCGGCTTCCCGTAGTACCTTGGGCAGGGGGCCCACCTCGGCGGCCGCCCCCCCAGGGCCCAGGACACAGTGGAAGAGCGTATGGCGTCGCAGCAGGCAGTCCCTAAGGAACTGCACCAACTCCTCCAAACACTTTCCCAGATGCTCCTCATCCCAGCTTTGTCCAGGGGCCCCCTTGCGTAGCAGCACTGCCAGCAGCACTGTCTTGAGCACATAGGAGGACAGGATGCGTCCCCACTGGGTGGCGGCCGCTGAGTCCAGCCCACGGGCACCCAGATCTCGCAGAGCCTTAAGCAACTGCAGGCACTTGAGGTAGCAGGCACCTGGAGCTGCCCGTTCCTGCAGCCAACTCAGCAGCTTCTGCTCCTGGCGTGCTGTATTCACACCCCACAGTGCCTCCGAGCGCAGGCCCCCAGGGAGCTCCAACAGGAGCCCGCTGGACAAGGGTGGCGGTGGTGGCGCCACAAGGAAGACGCCATCTCCCAGATGGACAGCGGGAATGAGGCGCACAGCCATGGAAAGGCGGCAGCAGCCGTAGTCAGTGCGGCAGGGCAGGATGTGTAACGTGGGAGGCTGTTCCAGGCCACCCGGGGTCAAGGTGACCCGACAGCGCCCCTCCAGGCTGTAACGCACAGTGGCCAAGGAGCGCTGCAGATGCGACTGGAACCAGCGCAGCACCAGAGCAGCAGAAAGGTGGCGCCGCCCGCGCACATCCACGCAGAAGCCATCAGCAAAGGGTTTGCAGTCCCGAAGCCAGTGGCCCCCCGAGGCCCCAGAAGGTGAGGGTGGTGCCTTAAGGGCGCACACGAAGCAGCTGCGGAAGGCCGGGGCCAGCGCTAGCTCCTCGCCCAGGCTCCGTGGGTCCAGCGCCACCAGCGGTGGGAGGCGCAGTGGCACCAGCACATCGAAGCTGTCGGGCCGGCGGATTTTATGTTGCTCGTAGGCGCTGCCCACCTGGATGAAGTCTCCGCGGAAGGCCAACGCCAGCGCTCCCCCGGGGATGAGGCCGGGGGACCCCCGGGAGCGGCCAGCCCGCACCAGCTCGCCCACGATCTGGCTCACGTGCGCCTTGCTGTGGCCCAACACGTGCGGAGACAGGCGCACCTCGTGCTCGTAATAACTCTCCAGCAAGATGCTGAGGCCAGGCTCTCGGAAGTGTCTCGAGAAGGCGGCGTGGCCCCCCAGACGGGGAGATCCCGGTAAGAAGCGCTGCCGGACAGCGTGGCGACAGCGCAGGAGGACATAGCTGAGGAGGAGCAGAACCGCCACCTTGAGCAGTGGGAAGCCGCCGTCCACGCCGTCGGGGGGCTCGGCCCGGGTGCCCCAGCTTCCCCACAGGACATGGTAGAGGCACACCAGAGCGGTGCAGAGGCCGGTCACCAGGGGCCAGAAGACGCGTAGATTGAGGGTGTAGTGCACCGACATGCCTGGCGCCCGGAGCCGCGGTGGCCGAGCAGCCCAGGGCGCGAGCCCCGGCGGCGTCCCCAGCCCAGCATGCGCACAGCGCCCAGACGGCCCCGCTGTCCGGGTCTCCTCCTCCGCGGCGGCTTCCCGACCGCAGGCCTGCGGGAAGCCGCCCTCCAGCTCGGCCTCCTCTCCCAGCTCAAGTGTTCCTTCCAGCTGCGGCCCGCCCTGAGCTCTCCGGCCCCGGGCCGCGCCCTGCCCCAGCTGCGCGCAGCGTCCGGCCCAGCGGCCCTCCCCGCCCGGCGTCCCCGCGCGCCACTCTCTGCCAGCTTCTGGCCTGGCTGGCCTCCTACCCAAGGCAGCCCTCCTGGCTCTCCCGCCGCTCCTCTCTCCGCGCCTGACTCCGTTACTCGGACCCCGAGAATTTCCTCTTCCGAGGGGGAGACGAGGACGCGCCAACTAGCGGGGAGGAAATGCCGGAGTCTGGAGTGGAGCGTGGAGCTGGCGGGCGGGGTCGGCCCCCCTCCCGGGCCTCCGCCTTAAAGCGACGCGGGGCGACGGGTGGGACTTCAGGACGCGCTTGGAGCTGGCCTCTCGCAGCCCACCCCCATGCTCCCTCCCACCCCCATGCTCCCTCCCAGAAGGCAGAACTAGGAAGGCCCTGATTCCGGGGCGGTGGCCTCCTCCTGGGAGCCTCTGGAGTTGCGCTCCCTTGAGTTATACTGGGAAGTTGAAAAGAAGAAGGCGCACAGCCGGACTGTCCAATCCTCCCCACCCCCACCGCAAAAGCCGTGGTGGCGTGGCAGGCTCTGGCACAGGAGTGGCCCTTGCCGTCGGCCTCTGTCCTCTGTTCAAAACAGTATTCACCGAGCACCTACCATGTGCCAGGCTGGAGCCACGGTGCTGGGGAAATCGCAGTTAACAAGATGGACAAGGTTTCTGTCCTTCGTGAAGTGTAAGCCTTGTAAAAATGGGAATCAAAAAAGGGGAGGGGCCGGGCGCGGTGGCTTACGCCTGTAATCCCAGCACTTTTGGAGGTCGAAGTGGGCAGATAATGATCATTTGAGGTCTGGAGTTTGAGACCAGCCTGGCCAACATGGTGAGACCCGCCCCTCCCCCCACCCATCGCTACTAAAAATACAAAAATCAGCCAGGCATAGTGGTGCACGCCTGTAATCCCAGCTACTAAGGAGACTGGGGCAGGAGAATCGCTTGCACCCGGGAGGCGGAGGCCACAGTGAGCTAAGATGGCACCACTGCACTCCAGCCTGGGTGACAGAGTGAGACTGTCTCAAAAAAAAGGGGGGGGGGGAAGGGATTCCACAGCAAGAAAACGCTCTGAAATAAACAAAACTGCATGAGGGAGTGAGAAAGTGGTGGCTACCCCGCTGAAGGGGAGGATGACAGATTCACCCCTGTAACCTCAGCACTTTGGGAAGCTGAGGCAGTGAGCAGATCGCTTGAGTGAGGCCAGGAATTGGAGGCTGCAGTGAGCTATGATCACATAATTGCACTCCAGCCTGCCTAACAAAGCCAGACTCTGGTCCCTGAAAAATAAGATAAATTAAAGTTAAATAATTTTCCCAGTGGAGGAAAGGGGCACAGACAGGTTCAGCTCAGGCAGGTTCAGTTGCACCCCCACCTCCACCCCACACACAAGGTTACAGAGCTTTTGTGGAGCTGCACCTTGAGCCTAGGCATCTGGCTCTAGAGAAGCCAAGGGGAGCTAGTTTCGTTCCATAACAGGGAGCACTTCCTGAAATAATCTGATCTGTTTAAATAATGTTCTTTGTGCATACTCATTATACCTTTGCTCGTGTTTAAAGAGAGCAAGGGTGGATACATTAAAACATGTTAGAACCCAGCTACCACGTGGGAACCAGGACTCAAAAGATGGCTCTTGGGTTACTCCCAAGAAATCCTAAATTGGGCCTCAGAGCTAAGCAGATCTTGCCTTCAGATCCCATCTACTACTATTAGCTATGAGATCATCGTCTACTAGTCAAGATCCTTCAGGTTTCAAGTGACAGAAACAAAGCTCCAACCAGCTTAAGCACCCATGTTACTGTATCATGTTAACTGAGATCCATGAGGGGATTTCAGGTATGGCTGGATCTAGGTGCTTCAGGGCTATGCAGACCTGTTCTCCCTTCACTACTTAGCTCTGCTTTTTAAGTGGGTTGTACTCTCTGTAGGTCCTCTCCATATGCCCTTGGCTGCTCTAGTCTCACACTGTCTTAAGTGCAGAGGAAAAGAGAGCCTTTCCTTTTTTTTTTTTTTTTTTTTTTTTCAGACAGACTCTCACTCTATCCCCCAGGCTGGAGTACAGTGGCGAGATCTCGGCTCACTGCAACCTCCACCTCCTGGGTTCAAGTGACTCTTGTGCCTCAGCCTCCTGAGTAGCTGGGATTACAAGGCACACGCCACCACACCCAGCTACTTTTTGTATTTTTAGTAGAGATGGGGTTTCACCATGTTGTCCGGGCTGCTCTCAAACTCCTGACTTCAAGTGATCTGCCCAACTCAGCCTCCCAAAGTGCCAGGATTACAAGCATGAGCCACTGTGTCTGGCCAGAGAGGCTTGCTTTTCTAAAAGCTGTAGTAAATGCCATGACTTGGGATAGTTTTGAGTCGTATGCAAGGGAACGCCCACCATCACACCTGGCTAATTTTTGTATTTTTAGTAGAGACAGAGTTTCACCATGTTGGTCAGGCTGGTCTCAAACTTCTGACCTCGTGATCCACCCACCTCAACCTCCCAAAGTGCTGGGATTATACACATGAGCCACTGCACCTGGCCTAATTTTTGTATTTTTAGTAGAGACAGGGTTTCACAATATTAGCCAGGCTGGTCTAGAGATTTTGGACTTCCTTTTTTTTTTTTTTTAAATTGCATTTTAGGTTTTGGGGCACATGTGAAGAACATGCAAGACTGTTGCATAGGTACACATATGGCAGTGTGATTTGCTGCCTTCCTCCCCATCACCCATATCTGGCATTTGTAACCTCTAGAACTACAAGAAAATAAATTTCTGTTATTGGGTCCACCCGATCTATGGTATTTGTAGAGGCAGCCTAAGCTGAGTAATACAGTTGGGTACCCAACCCTGGAACCAAGAGGTGGAGTCAGCGCTGTTCAAACTGTGAGAACTGTGGGAAGGGGTGTCTCGCCCAAGAAAAGTCATGGTGCTGTGGCTGGAAGAATTTGGCATGCAGAGATGATAGCTGGATAACTCTCTTAACCTATCTTTGCTTCTGTCTCCCCATCTATAAAGTGGGGTGCTACCAACAGAGGGTTTATTTTTCCCCTGTCAGATAGAGTGGTATGCTATCTTCAACTGTACAGATAAAGACAACTCTCTAGGTCAGAGTTGGCAAGCACTTTTTTTTTTTTTTTTTTAAAGAAACAGGTCTTGTGGCCAGGCGCAGTGGCTCAAGCCTGTAATCCCAGCACTTTGGGAGGCCGAGGCGGGTGGATCACAAGGTCAAGAGATCGAGACCATCCTGGTCAACATGGTGAAACCCCATCTCTACTAAAAATACAAAAAAATTAGCTGGGCATGGTGGTGCGTGCCTGTAATCCCAGCTACTCGGGAGGCTGAGGCAGGAGAATTGCCTGAACCCAGGAGGCGGAGGTTGCAGTGAGCCGAGATCGCGCCATTACACTCCAGCCTGGGTAACAAGAGCGAAACTCCGTCTCAAAAAAAAAAAAGAAAAAAGAAACAGGTCTTGCTCTGTTGCCTAACCTGGAGCACAGTGGCAAAATCATAGCTCACTCCAGCCTTGAGCTTCTGGGCTCAAGGAATCCTCCTGCCTCAGCCTCCCAAGTAGCTGGAATTATAGGCATGCATCACTACACCTAACTAGTTTTTAAATTTTTTGTAAACATGGGGTCTCACTAGGTTGCCCAGGTTGGTCTTGAACTGCTGGCCTCAAGCAATCCTCCTGCCTTGGCTTCCCAAAGTGCTGGGATTATAGGCATGACCCACCATGCCCAGACACACACTTCTTGTGAAGAGCCACAGAGTAAATATTTTAGGCTTGGGTGTTGTAAAATCTCTACTACAACTATTCAGGTCCACGGTTGTAGCCCCAGATAGCTGCGTTTGGACTGTTGCTTGGCAAACTTTGGCTTGCATTGATACAAAAATAATTGTGGTTTTTGCCGTTACTTTTAATACTAATAGCTGCAACTCTCTGATATCTGCCTCTGTCTTTATCTCTTTTTGGCCTTTTTCCCTGTGCATATGTCTAGGTTTCTGTATCCAAATCTTCCCCTCCCTTCTCATATAAGGACACTATTCACTGAATTTAGGGCCCACCTTCATTCGTGTTAACTTGATGACCTCTACAAAGACCTAAATCAGGCCACATGCACACATCCAGGAGTTAGGTTCTGAACGTATCTTTTAGGGAGACGCAATCAACCCACTACCGCGGCTCGAGATGATCTGTCAATGAATGGGTAGGACTGTTCCCATCACATTTATTTATGGATGCTGAAATTTGAATTTTGTAAGATTTTCATGTGTCATGAAATACACTTCTTTCGATTTTTTTCAGCTGTTTAAAAATGTAAAAACCTAGCCAGGCGTGGTGACTCATTTCTGTAATCCCAGCACTTTGGGAGGCTGAGGCGGGTGGATCACAAGGTCAGGAAATCGAGACTATCCTGGCCAACATGGTAAAACCCCGTCTCTACTAAAAATACAAAAATTAGCTGAACATGGTGGCGTGTGCCTGTAATCCCAGCTACCCAGGAGGCTGAGGCAGGAGAATCACTTGAACCTGGGAGTCAGAGGTTCCAGTGAACTGAGATCTCTCCACTGTACTCCAAATTGGTGACAGAGTGAGACTCTCTCAAAAAAATAAATAAATAAATAAAATAAATGTAAAAACCTGCTGGGAACAGTGGTTCATGTCTGTTATCCCAGCACTTTGGGAGGCCAAGGCAGGAGTTCAAGACCAGCCTGGGCAACACAGTGAGACCCTGTCTCTACAAAAAAAAAAAACAAAACAAAACAAAAAAACTAGCTGGGTGTGGAGGTGCACACCTGTAGTCCCAGCTACTCAGGAGGCTGAGGCAGGAAGATCATCGGAGCCTAGAACGTCCAGGCTGCAGTGAGCTGTGAACTATGATCATACCACTGCATTCCAGCCTGGACGACAGAATGAGACCCTAACTCTAAAAACATATAAAAGCCAACCTCAGCTTGAGGGTCATACAAACACGCTCAGTGTACTGTGGGTAATTAGCTTCCTAGGGTTGCTGTAACCAAATACCACAAACCCGGTGGTTTAAACAATATAAATGTATTCTCAGAATTCTCAAAAGCAGGAATCTGAAATCAAGGGATCTGCAGGGCTGTGCTCTCTTTGAAGCCTCCCGGGGAGCCTCTTGCCTCTTGCCTCTTGCCCCTTGCCCCTTCTGGGGGCTGCAGGCGCTCCTTGGCTTGTGGCTGCCTCACTCTCAACTCTGCCTACAACCTATGTGGCTTTCTCCTCTGGATCGGAGACTTCTCCTTTTCTGTTTCTTTTCTTTTTTTGAGACAGTTTCTCATTCTGTTGCCAGGCTGGGCTGGAGTACAGGGGGTGATCATGGCTCTCTACATCCTCAACCTCACCTCCTGGGCTCAGATGATCCTCCTGCCTTAGCCTCTTTGAATAGCTGTGACTACAGGTGTGCACCACCATGCTCAGCTAATATTTTATTTTTTGTAGAGATGGGATCTCACCATGTTGCCCAGGCTGCTCTCGAACTCCTAGACTCAATCAATCCTCCCATGTCGGTCTCCCAAAGAGCTAGGATTACAAGCGTGAGCCACTGTCCCTGGCCTTCTGCTGCTTATCGGGACACCTGTCATTGGATTTAGAACCCACTTGGGTAATCTCATTGATCTCAACTGGAAATATGCAATTTAAGGATCCTTAATTTAAAGATTTTCAAACT